GCCAGGCAGGCACCCGAGTTCAATCCCCGGTTCCGAGGACTGAGAAAACAAAACAAAACAAACAAACAAAAACCCCACCTCTTTGATTCATTGATACTTTGTGATATTTTTGTCTCAACTTCATTAACTTCCTGGTCTGATCCTTAGAATTTCTCTCCTGTTGGTTTCACATGCGGGTTGCTCTTGTTTTTCTAGGACCTTGGAATGCCTCGTTAGCGTCTTTATTTGTGATCACTTAATGTTCCTTCCACTCCAGGATTGCTTTCATTGTGTCCATAGTGTCTGCTTTGCTGTGCTTCCATTGTCATTTGCTCCTAGGAAGTTGAATTTCATTTCTTCTTTGATCTTTTCTGCAAAACATTGGTTATTCAGCAATGTATTATTACATCTCCATGTGTTTTCATAGTTCCTGTGGCTTCAGCTGTTCATATCTAGCCATGTTCCACTACAGTGCAACAGTAGGCAGGAGTTATTTCATCTCTTTTGTACTTATGTAAGCATGCTTTAGGGTCTAAGATATGGTCTAGTTTGGAAAAATGTTCCATGCGCTGAGAAAAATTCTGTTGTTGGATGAAATATTTTAGAGCTATCTGTTAAATGCATTTGTTTGGGCTGGGGATGTAGCTCAGTGGCACAGCCCCCTTGGTAAGCGCAAGGTTGTGAGTTCAATTCCTGGTTCAAAAAATATCCATTTGTTCAACGGTGCAGTTTAACTCAGAGCTTTCTTTGTTGACTTGTTGGGTCTGCCTGACCTAATTGTGATGCTGGGATGCTGAAGTCCCCCACTGTGATTGTGCTTGTATCTGTCAACTCCAGTGGTTTTTATTGTATGTTTTGTGCAGGGTCTCACTGTGCAGCTTGTACTTGTAGGGAGCCTCCCGTTTTCCAGCTTCCCAGTGCTGGGATTACAGGTGTGTATCACCGTGCCCAGACTAGGTGGCCGGCTGAGTGTGCCCGGGGGTGGGGCTGGTGTGGCCTGTGTTGCTGGGGATCGAACCCTGGTCCCTGAGCTTGCCTAAGCAGGCTCTTAGTTCACTGAGCTATCTTGCCAGCCCTTAGCTTTTATTTTATGAAGTTGAGTGTGCTGACATTTTGTACATAGATGCTTATAATTTTTGTCTCTTCCTGTTGAACGGTTCCTTTTCCCAGCCTTTAGTGGACATCTTTGTCTTTCCTGATCAGTTTTTGTCCCTTTTGCTTTGCAGCACTTAGGACCTCATATGTGCCAGGCAGATGCTCCATCGCTGTGCCCCCTTCTGGCCCCTGTGGGCTTCCGTTTGGGTGTGGTGTGTCTCCTACAGGCAATACATGGTTGTGTTTCATTTGTTATCCAATTTGTTGATCTGAGTCTTTGGACTGGGGAGCTGGGCTCTCTTGGCATTTGTTCCTCTCTTTGTCTCCCTGCAGACACGGGCAAGGCCAGGCCTGAGTGCAGAGACATCCTAGGAAGCAGTGGGGAGCCGTGGGAGATGAGGGGGCTCCAGGGACAGAATCTGGAGGGCGCTTGTTCCATCTGCAGGTCAGCACGTGAGACCTGCCAGGGGCAGACCTCCACTGGTGACCCAGAGAGGGTCAGCACAGTGCTTCCTGGCCAGTGTGCCAAGAACATGGGGGAAAATCCAGGCTCCAAAGGACAAAGCTCACGAAGGAGATTTTGGAAGGCTACCTTCGTGTAACGCTAGCGGGCTGATGGGAATAAGCCGGAGATTGTCAGCCAGAGTCAGGGCTGAGCTCATCTTAGGTACGGTTTTCAAGCAGGAAGTACAGAGCTGATAACAGGTTATTACTTGATTGGCTACATGAAATAGAAGAATTGGAGTGTGCGTCTTTCCTTTCTACTATAACTCCAGCTCGGTGCCGCTGCAATGGGCAAGTTCATGAAACTGGGGAAAGTGGTGCTGGTCCTTGCCGGACGCTTCTCCGGATGCAAAGCTGTTGTCATGAAGAACATCGACAATGGCACCTCCAACTGCCCCTACAACCATGGCCTGGTGGCCGGGATTGTCCACTATTCCCGCAAAGTGACAGCTGCCACAAGCAGGAAGAAAATCACCAAGAGGTCAAAGATCAAGTCATTTGTGAAGGTTTATAGTTACAACTGCCTCCTGCCCTCCAGGTACTCTGTGGACATACCCCTGGACAAGACGGTGATCAGCAAGGACATCTTCAGAGACCCAGCAGCACAAGGCCCAGCAGGAGGTGAAGGGCAAGTTCGAGAGAGATACAAGATAGGCAAGAACAAGCGGTTCTTCCAGAAGCTCCGGTTTTAGGTGTTCTTTGTTTCTATCATTAAAAAAAAAAAAAAAAAAAAAAAAGAATTATGTCATGTGTTGTCAGGCAGAATTGTACAGGGAGAGAGGGGGTCTGAGCAGAGTAGGTAGAGTTGCTAGTGTCCTTGACCAGGCCCGTCTTCCCCAGACATGGCGTCCTCGAAGCAAGCTGAACTCAATGCTTGTTCTCCTAACTGGAGGCAACACAGACAGCTTGACCCACAGCGTTGCGGATGGATCACAGCTGGCACCAGGCAGTCAAGGTTTTAGCTGAAGTTAGTAAGCTAGCTACGCGGCACGCTGCAGAGCCTGTGGTCTTTTTTTTTTTTTTTTTTTTTTTTTTTTTTTTTTTTTTTGGCAGCACCAGGGGTTGAACTCAGGCCCTTGCGCTTGCCAGGCGAGTGCTTATTCTACTGAGCTATCTCCTCGGCACCCCCTCTTACAAATTTCTAACTTTGCTATAATGAGTCTACAAATTGGGGTTCTCCAGGTGTGCTTGACATGATGAGTCCTAATACGTGGTGGGCTGAGTTCTCATTCTTTGCTCTTTTCTTTTCATATTCTTAAACTGTTCGTTTTATTCTATTTTATTTTTTTGAGGCAAGTTCTCGTTATGTAGTGTAGTTTGGCCTTGAACCCACTGTGGAGCTCAGTCTGGCCTTGAACTTGTCGCAACCCTCCTGTCTCAGTCTCCCGAGTGCTGAGATTACAGACTACCACCTTGCCTGGCTGTTTTCATGTTCTGGATGAACTTGAAGTCTTCTAATTAGAATACAACTGTCAGTTCTAAAAATAACATCCAGGTAGCTTTTTTTTTAATTGGATCACATTGAGTATATTGTTTCATTTAGAAAGAACTGACACCCATATCGTAGCTCACTGCACCCTACAGTGTGGAGTAAATAGATCTTGTTTCTTCGATTTACCATATAAGCCCCTTAAGGATATTTATCCTGTTTTTCTTTGTTGATTTTATATTTTTAAAACTTTTTCTGTGCATATGTATTAGCAAAGGGATTCCTCTTCTTCCTTCCCCTCTTCCTCTAATCCCTCCTCCTCCCTTGGCCACCTCTTCCCCCTCTTCTCTTCTTCTTCCTCCTTTTTTTTTTTTTTTTAAGAGGTGAAATATTTATTTTTATTTATTTATTTTTTTTAAGGTTTTAATATATTTATTTGAAAACCAAGGTCTGTGAAAGAGCACACCAAATGGTCATGTGTTTTCTCTTCAGTCAGAGACTTGGAGACGAGTTCTTGAGGTGAGCGCACAGCAAGGCCACATGCATTGAGGAGCTGGTCCTGCTGGTCCTGCGAAGGCTCCCGCCGCGCGCTCTCCATGGCTGGCCGGGCTTTGAGTGGCCAGAGCCCGTCTGGTCCCTTAGTCATCGATATACTCAAAGGGCTCTGCTTCCTCCTTTTTTTTTATTTTTTATTTTTAAAGTGGTGCTGGGGCTTGAACCCAGGACCTTTCGAGGGAGCTATATCCTGGGCACTTTTGAAAAATGTATTTGTATCTGTATATACAAAATAGTTAGGATAAAAAAAAAAACAAAATAGGATAGATGCAGCTACTTTCTCTTAAGTAGAAATTGAGAAGAAAGATTTGTGCTAATGGTCTTTGGACAGGATATCGTGTCTGCATCTTGTACTATGAATAACCACTACAAAGACAACAATAATTAAAAGAAATTGTATCTTAAAAATTTATTCAAAAAAAAGAGAAAGAAAGAAAGAAAAATGTGTCTTGAGACAGGTTGTTGCTAAATTCCTAGATTTTTGGCCTTCAGCTCTCTATAGGACACCTGAGCTCTGTTTTGCTCAGAAATATTTCTCAAAGTGTTGACGAGGTGGCCCTCTCTTTCTGGAGGGTGTTATTGTGGCTGTTGGCCAGAGAGCAGAGAGCAGGTTGGGTGTTGGAGGAGGAGGGGTTGGGCTTCTCTGCGGCTTCCTTTATCGGCTTTCTTGCATGCTCTAAACTCCAGCTCTGTGTGTTGCGCAGTGCGAACCTCAGAGGGCTCTGAGCAGATGCAGGGAGATAAGATATGATCACAGGCCACTGCAACCCAGAGATGGGGGAGGGATGGGCGAGGGGAGGGTGGAAGATGGAGGAAGGTGCCAGGTGAAGTGGGCATGCCTGGCATCCCAGCACTAGGGAGACTGAGGCAGGAGGATCACTGTGAGTTCAGGCCAGCCTGGGCTACGCAGTGAGCAAAAGACCCGCATACAATGCACAGCGAGACCCTGTCTCAAAACACCAAAATAAATGAATAAATAGAAAATAAAAAATAGGAGGAGGCGGAGGAGGAAGAGATGTGCTGCAATCACACACCTCCTCATGAGGACTGTGGGTACTGTGTGCTGCAGATGTGCAAAGCAACTCTAAAAAGACGCCCTCTGTGGCTTGGGAGCCGTGGACCTCCCTGGGGGAGGTGGCCAGTGGATGGGTTGGGGGCGGGGGCCTCTGACTCTTGGCTGTGTGAAGTCAGGAGTCCGGAGCCTGAGGTACTGGACAGTAGCCGGCTGCACGAGGCTGGACAGAAGCTGCTTCTTGGGGCCTTGGGCAGAGGCTGGCTCTGCAGGGGAAGCGGTGCTCCACCTCCTGGTCCCCTTTGTCCTCTCTGTCATCATCTGCCCCACCCTTGGCCAGGAAGGAAGAGCTGCTTGGCACTGGGGCTGCTTCTTCCTGGGGCGCAGTGCCAGACGCCGGGGGCGTCTCAGTGCAGTGGGGTAGCCATGGCCAGAGAAGGAGGCAATGGATGCAGGGACCCCAAGGATGTCTCAGGGCCCGAGACCAAGAGTTTCCCTGGGCGGCAAGTGGCTGGTGAGTCCAGGAGCTCTTGGCAACAAAGGGCGTGCAGTGCAGGGTCCTGTCCTGGGTGCCTGCGCTTCTCTCAGTGGCTTTACTCCTGTCCCAGAAACCAGGGATTTGTTCAGCCTTTGTTTTTCTTTTTGTAGTCTTGGGGCTGGAATCCAGGACCTCCTCACTCACTTCCCTCCCTGGTCTGTTTTGTTTTTTTTTTTATTGTGAGATAACACCTCCCTACGTTGCCCAGCCTGTTTCAGCTGTGGCCCTCCTGCCTCAGCCTCCTGGAGTGCTGGGATTCTAGGCTTGCCCCATTGCGCCCGGCCGGGAGGGCTTCTGTGCCCTGTCCTGCTCAGAGTCCTCGAGCTGTGGGGAATCGTCAGGAGCCCAGGATGGCAGGGGGCTCGTGCAAGGTCCCCAGCCTCTCCAGGAGTGGCCCCAGAGCTTCTGGGAAACAGAGGAAGTGTCTGACTCAGTTTCCTCCCAGGGCGGCAAGACAAGAGCTGGAGGTGCCTGTGTGTGGCCATGTCTCTGAACCTGGTCCTGGTGGTCACTGTTCTCAGCGTGATCCTTCCGCAAGGTAAGGTGCCACCTGGGTTACCCGCCTGGGCAGCAGAAGCAGGGGTTTCTGTCCCTGGGCGTGAGGATGGGGACAAAGGAAGCTGACCTGCCAGCCTCAGGCACGTGGAAGGGCATCTGGGTGGGCTGAGGCAGGAGGAGCCCCTGGCTAGACCACGTGCGCCCCAGGGGTCTCCGCAGAGCTCCGGACCCCCTCCCCAATTTATGCCGAGGCTGACCCCTGCTCACCCATAGGTGGGGTGTTTACATCTCTGGGCCCAGCTTCCCTCCCTTGAGAACAGGGCAGGTGGCCAGGCTCAGGGAGGAGGAGCCCAAGGTCGCCCTCCACCCTGACAGTGCTCTGGACTAGTCGGCAGCTGCGGACAGTGGTGACACAGCTGGAAGGGAAAGGTGAGTGGCGCAGGGCACAGAGGGGACCGGGTTGATGACCCCAGGCCCACGTGACCTCCCTGGCCTCTCTCTCCCCACAGTGGCTTTGGAACTGGCCAACGCAGGACATGCCCGGGACACCCTGCGGGCAGAGATGTTCAGGCAGCTGGAGGTTCCCTGGGCCGGCAACCGTGAGGCTGGGAGCAGGGCCAGGGCGGGGGTGGGGTGGGGTGATGATGCCTGATGGGGGTGGATGGCTGCCCGCGGGTAGTGCTCAGGACCCGCAACTGTGCTGGGCTGCACTGCCGCATACTAGCTTCATGGTCCCCACAACTCCACCCTTGCTATTACCGGGCCCAGGGCCTTTGCACCAAACACAGACGCCCCAGTCCTTGTGATTTTTTTATTCTGAGACAAGGCCTTGCTACTGTTAAGTTGATAAGTTGCCTAGGCTGTGCTTCAGCTTGCAATTGTCCTGCCTCAGCCTCCCAGAGGACTGGAATTACAGGTGCGCAGCACAACTGCCTTCTCTCTGGCCCCCTTCTTCCTCCTTTGTTTCTCCTCCTCCTCCTCCTCCTCCTCCTCTGTTTCTTCTTCCTCCCCTCCTCCTCCTTCTTCCTGACATAGGATCTTCCTGTCACGCCCAGGCTGGCATCAATCTCTGGGCTCAAGAGATCCTCCGGTCTCAGCCTCTCAAGCAGCTGGGGCTGCAGGTGTGCACCACCATGCTAAGTTGGTGCTATTTATTTTTAAAATAACTTCTTTCAAAAAGCATTTCACAATTGAATTGACACACACTAATTGTGGGCCTCTGAGGGGTACAGTGTGATGTGTTGTGTGTGTACGTGGAATGACCAGCTCAAGTGGGTTAGCATATCCACCCCCTCTCTTGGCTATCTTTTTGGGAGGATGTTAAAGATCCACTCTTTCAGCAATTTCAAAATATTTATTTGGGGACAGGGTCTCGCTATGTAGCTCAGGCTGGCCTTGAGCTCGCTTTGCAGCCCAGGCTGGCCTTGAATTTGCAGCAGTTCTCCTGCCTCAACCTTCCAAGGGCTGGGATCACAGGCGTGAGCCACCAGCGGGCTTAGCAAGTTTGAGGTACACAGCAGATGATCGTTAACCGCCATGGCGACGCTCCTGTGTGAGGCCACTGCCACCGCCAGGCTGCCTAACTAAAGCTCTCCAGTCTTGAATCACCATTTTCTGGGCCCCTCTCCCTGCCTCATCTCTGTGGCCACTGCTGTGCTCACTGTTGCGGCCGACTGCCATGTTTAGATTCACTGTGGAGAAGCCGCTGCCTGCACCGTCTCCCGCGCATGCACGCGTGTGGGTTGCGGCGCACAGCACAGCTGGCTCTCGGTGCCCGTCGCGGCCGTGCAAGGCTGCACCTGGGGAGCTTCTTCTGCTCTGCCAGGGCCTGCAGCTGGGGTGCTGTCCGGATTCCTGGGAGCCCCTGGGAACAGCGGGAACAGAAGGGGCCTTGGGGTGGTGGTGGTGGAAGGGGACGTGGGGGCTGTGGCAGCAGTGGGGGTTGTGGCAGCAAAAGCTCAGTGCCCAAGGCCACGGGGGTCCCCTGGCAGAGCTGCTGCCCAACCCATGCGGGGACAGTGCAGTTGGGGTGCATCCCCTGCTGTCTGCTGGAGAAGGAGTTTGTGTCACCATACAGACCTCGCTGTTGCCTGCCCAAAGCCACCACACAAATGGGATTCTAGTCAATCATAGCTCGGGGTGACTTTCTGGCGCTTGTTAGCACATGCAGGCCTGGGTGCAGCCTCTTTGTTAGACTGAACCCCATCTCTGGCTTGGAGGGAGCCATCTGGGTCCTTGCGGCCCTGGTCTGCCCCTGGCTGTGAAGGAAGTGGCTGAGCCAGGCACTTGAGGTCTGGATGGTGGCTTCCCTTCCCCTGTGCCCTGAGGGTACCCTTGACCACCTCCTCTTGACCCACTGCCCTGGAACTGCTGACCCAGGTTTCCAAGACATTTAGCCCAGGTTTCCAAGACATTTAGGGTGTAGATGGATCCACAGATGTGGAACGTGTGTGTGTGTGTGTGTGTGTGTGTGTGTGTGAGCGCTCACCTGCTGGACAAGGGAGGTGGGGGAGAATCCTGCCCCAGTCTCAGCCCTGCACTACAGGCTCCCATCTGACCCTGGGGACCGGGTGGTCACTTTATTCCTTGAAGCAGTGCTTCTGAAGTCAGCTGAGGCTCGGGGCTGCTGCCTGGGGGCTCAGCAGCAGCCTAGTCTCCCCTGAGGCCTGGCACGGGCTGGGCAAACACTCACCACTGAGCCACACTGCCCATGATTCTTTATTTTGTGATTGGTTCTTGTTAAGTGGCCCAGGCTGGCCTTGAGCTTGTGCTCCTCCTGCCTCAGCTTCTCACTGGAATTCTAGGCCTGTGCCATGGTGCGGGGCAACCCCTAGTTGTGTTGACCAAACATATCTCTAGATGTCCCCGGAGGGTGCAGTCACTGCTGGTTGAGGGCCTCTTTGATTAGAGTGTCACACACATGCCCCACACTCTGTAGGAAGGTAGCGTCGCGCCGTGTGCTCAGACCCAGTGTCCCTGTGCGCCCTTCTGGGGTGGCTGGGTAGTGAGTTCCTTCGCACAGGGAGTGCGCTAGGTGAGGCCATTTGCAACACGGATGGGGCAATGGTGCTGACCCTGGTGTGTGACCCGCGATGCTCCCTGTCCTGCAGGCTCCTCCTGCCAGCCCTGTGATGCCGGCTGGGGCACCTTCTGGGGCTCCTGCTACCTCATCCGCCCTGGCAACTACAGCTGGAGACAGGCCCTGCAAGCCTGCGAGCAGGTGCAGGCTCACCTGGTCATCATCAACAGCTGGGTGGAGCAGGTGTGCAGGGAGGGAGGACGGCTGGGGGAAGAGGAGGTTGGCGAGCTCCTGCACTCCCTTCCCTGCCACTCTGCCTGGTGCCCTCTTGATGTGGTCTTTAAGATCTGCCTCTTCTTGTCCCCATCCAACTTTACCACCTGCCACGCAGGGAAGAGACCTTGAGGCTGTGCTCCTGCTCTACCTCTAATACGTGCAAGCCCTTCCCCGCCATCTTCACAGGGAACTCTTATTCAGTCATCAAAACCCCAACACAAAAACCCTGACAAATAGGCTAATTCCCTAGACTCCATTAGATTTTTAAAGACCAATACAAGGGGTGACTGAAAAATGCAGTGCATATTTAAATTAAAGAACTATAGTAAGGGGCACATTGCTATGAATCTACGCCCTTCAAGTGCACCTGTTCCATGACTCCTGCCACTGTGAGCAGCAGCTCTGGAATCTTCTTTCCTGAGTGTCTTTAAGAAGCTTGGGGGCCAGGGAGATGGCTCAGTAGAATAGCACTTCCCTGGCAAGTGCAAGGGCCTGAGTTCAATCCTGGTTCCACCAAAAAAAAAAAAAAAAAGAAGTCTGATCAAAATCAAGGCTGCTCGTAGGAGCATGACGCCATGTCCTCATCTGGTTGAGTCACTGGGCCTGGCATCATGAGGCTGCTGGCTCTTGCCCAGAGTCAAAGTGACCAAGCAAGGAAAGCATTCTGAGTCAGTTCAGGACGAGAGGTGGCCGCAGCAGTGCAGCTAGAGGCTCCGGGATAGAAGGTTTGAGAGTCGCTGCAGAAAGCTGCTGGCTGAGCATCTGAAGGGCGGGGCTTGAGGGAATTGATGCCATGCGCTCTTCTGCTTTCTATTTTTTGAGACAGCATCTTGCCCTGTGTTTAGGCTGGCCTTGAACTCACAGGGATGGCCCTGCCTCAGCCTCCTGAGTGCTATCATTTCAGGTATGCCTAATTTTTCCCGCCACACCTTAGATGTGTCATGGTGCCGGGGGCTGCCCGGCCTCCGACCTGGGCTAGGTCTGTGTACCCCTGGGTCTCATGGCTGAGAACGAGGCTTGGCCGGGCAGGCCTCAGGGATGTCCTGGGTTCATAGCTCCTGCCTCTGAGGTGACCGTCTTAAAGGACACTTGGTTAGTGCTTGGCCAGATTTTTTTCCCTAGGGGTGCAAACCTGCACAACTAACTGTGAGAATGCTCCGGAGGGAGGAGGAAGCCAAGGTGGGGTCACCTCTCTGAGGCCAGGAAGAATGAACATAGTTGTGAGAGGCTCACAACGAGAAATCAAAGCATGCACTGTGCGTACCTGCATCCATCACCCTTTCTACTTGAAGGTTCCTGAGTGCAGTCTCCTGTCACCAGCCCCCTGGATGCTCTTACCTCCATCCTTTCAGTTTCCATGGAAGAAGCTGCTTGTGTTAGGGTTTTCATGTTGGGGTTTTGATGAGTGAGTAAGAGTTCACCATGCAGACAGCAAACATGCTTTCTCCCCTCCAGAACTTTTTTTTTTTTTTTTTTCCTTTTTCCCTCCAGAACTTCTTGACATCAATTGTGCAGACCACGGCCTGGATCGGACTCTACAGAGAGGCCCAGGAAGGCACCTACTGGTGGATCAATAGCTCAGCCCTCACCTACACGTGAGTCCCGCACTGTCTTCAGGACAGCCTTCCCCCGGGGGGCTGGTGTGGCTTTGAAGTGTGCTCAAGCAGCTCTGTGTTTCTCTTCCACTTATTCATTTACTCTCCATTCAGCTCAAGATTTGCACTGAGCCCCAGCTCCAGACCTTTTTAGTTTTCATTTTAAGACGGGGGCTCTCTCAAAGCCAGGCGAGGAGGCTCACTGCTCCCATCCCCATGCTGGGCAGGCTGAAGGAGGAAGACCGCCCTAAGTTCAAGGCCAGCCTAGGCCACATCGCCAGACACTGTTTAAAACTTCCCCCCAAAATAAAAGAACAAACCAAATGGAACCGAAACAGAACAGAGGAACTTTCTAAGTCACTAGCTTGCCCAGGCTGGGCTCGAATCTGTGACCTTCCCGCCTCAGTCTCCCAAGCACTGGATGGCAGGAGTACACCATAACACCCAGCAGGACTCTCTTTTATTCAAGGGAGGAAATGGGCTTGGAGACATTTCGTATGGTTCCCCAGAGGACTGGGGCATGGGTCCATCTGACCTCGTGCAGAAGGGGAGTGGGTCGAGGATGGAAGCACCCCAGCTGCCCTGGGAACCCTGGTCTTGTCATGCTGCCCCAGGAGCCTGGCCTCGGCTGGACTCCCAGTGGTAGACCAGATGGCCCTTGGGGCCCGTCTAGGCCCAGCCACCCCAGCTGCCCATGGCTGGGGCCAGTCACTTAGGGTGCTATTGGCCTTTTTGTTGCAGCAACTGGGAACCCGGAGAGCCACGGGGTGAGGGGCCTGCCCCGGGCTGTGGGGCGATCCTGCCCCAGGGGGCCTGGAGCAGCTTCTCCTGCAGTGCCAAGGAGTTGGCATGCATCTGCGAGCGGCGGCAGAGTTGCTGAGCCTGGAGTCCTGGTCCCCACGCAGCAACAGAAAGGGGCATTTCTCCAAGGCCCAGGTCCCTTTCTTGGAGGAAGTCTCCCTCACCCCTTTTCTCCTTTCTGCTTTTAAGCATATTGTTTTTATTACCGCAGTGTGTGACAAGTCTTCCTCGCGGCGGCGCTTGCGCATGTGCAACACACGCCGATCCCCTTTTCATCCTTCCTGACCCCCTCCCTCGCTCCCCATCCCTTTGCAGAGGATCTAGCTCCCTACTTCCTGTGGCCTAACTTTTATTTTGCTTTTTATTTCTAATTCTGGGTTTTCATTTAAGAGAAACCATGAAATAGCTAAGCTTCCGTGTCTGATTTATGCTACTGATGACTCAGGGCTATACTTCTTTATGGCAGAGTAGTACTCCACGGTGTGTAGAAGATCCTACAAGTTTTTATCCATTCACCTGCTCATGGTCCCACCAGTTTCATTTCTGTTGAGCAGAAGAAGTAACTTTTGGGCCCCTGCACCGCAAAGCAGGGCACAGCTCTGTCCCTGCTGGGGCCAGGCATGGCCAAGCTCATGCCTGGGCCACTGAGGTGCCATGGGCCTGTCCTCAGCCACTATGGTGAGCCACGGGGACCCTGTGCACCTGTGTCCTCTTTGCTTTTCTTTTGCTACAAGGTCAGCTCATCCCAGAGCGGGGCCCCTGCTCCCACCCTGCTCCTGCCATGACCAACACATCTACAACAGGGCTGCAGGGGCCACAGTGAGCGTCCATGCCGGCAGCTGCCCAGCTCCCAGAGAAGTGAGTGCCTCCTTTCCCCTCCCTTTTGGGCACTGGGAATTGAACCTGGGGGCACTGAGCTGTATTACTGGCCCCTTTTTATTTTTAAAATTTGAGACAAGGTCTCTGTGGGCTGCCCAGGCTGGACATGGAGCTTCAATCATCCTGCCTCAGCCTCCTGCAGGGCTGGGATGACAGGTGTGCACCCCTGCCTCTGGCACTGTCTCACTGCCCTCAGGCAAGACAGCTGTCTTTGAAAATGGGCAGCGGGTGACACACTGGCCCCAGGAAGCACTGTGAGGCTGGCTTATTCAGGAGGCATTCACAAGCACCCCTGCTCACCTGGCACCAAGGGAGGGAGCCAGGGCGCCACCCCAGTATTCTGGAAAGTGGAGGCAGGAGCCCGGCCTGACCAACTTAGGGACTTAGGGAGACGCGGCTCCAAGCAAGGAAAGAAGGAGGGAGAGGGACAGGGAGGGGAGAAGGCCAAGCCACAGAGCACACTCCGGTCATCGCTGCCTTCTGGGCTCGCAGGCCTGCTGGGCGGGGCGTTCTACAAACAGGTTTGGGGCAAACAGCAGCACTGACCCGTGACCTTTGCTCTGGGCTGCTCAGACTGGGGTGTGGTGCCACTGGTCGCCGCACTGATGCTAGAACAGCCCAGGGTCCACATGCGACAACCTGTCCTCTGGAACCCGGCAGCTGGTGGGCTTCGTCTGTCTTCCGCACCCACCCTGCACTGTCCACGTGAGAAGGCCCTGGAGCCACAATCTGAAGGGGAGCCCAGGTCTCTCTGTTGTCCCCATACTGTCCTCGAGCCTGGCTCAATCAGCAGTGTCCAGACACCCCTGCTCTGCTGAGCGACAGCACACTGGGCGGGCAGGTCCGCCGCATCACACCTGTTGGCAGGCGGAGGCTCAGAGAAGTCGCGCCACTCGCCTTGGTGGTGCAGCCAGGAAGTTCTGCGTGAGTCAGGCTCACAGCTTTGCTGCTGCGAGCCAGGGCGCCGAGACCAGAGGGCATCCAGGCGATGAGGTGAACCTTCCCTGAGGGTTAACCCGTGTTTCAGAGCCCAGAGACAGAAATGTTCACTCTGACCTAACGGTGGTTCTGTTTTGGAATACTCTTGTTTTTTCTTTTTTTTTTTTTACCAGGGATCGAACTTGGGACCTTGTGCTTGCCAGGCAGGCACGTATGCTGCTGAGCTATTTCCCCATCCCATCTATCTCCCCAGTGCTCTGTTTTGGAAAAGAAAGCAGGGCTGGGGTGTAACTCCATGGCATACAGCAAGCTTTGCACGCAGGAGGCCTTGGGGTTCTGTCCTCAGCCTGCAGGAGAGAAAGGAAGGGAGGAAAGATGGAGGGAGGGAAGATGGAGTGGAAAGAAAGCCCACAGAGCTCAGCAGAAGGGGGCTTGGGGACTCCTGTGGCCCCAGCTCTTCCCCAAGGCGCCCAGTGTGGGAAGCACACACCAGAGACAAGCCCAGAGCCCTGGCTAATGGGGTGGAGCCCTGGGATGTGAGCCACATAACCTGCTGAGCCCTCACCACAGGCACAGCCCCTGGGAAGCCAGTCCCCAGTGTGGACAGGGAGCAGGCTGTGGATTTGCAGGGGCCTCATTGGAAGTTAGCACACGATTCCAACCCTGGCCCCCACAGCGTGGCAGGAGGCAAGGGCTGGGGGTTTGCTCAGGGTGGAGGTGGAGGCACAGCCTCCAGGAGCTCCCCGCTCAGCCTCGGCAGACTGGGGTGCCTGAGGCACTGGGTTCCCAAGTCCTCGGTCAGGTGATAAGCAGCAGCAAGCCCTGCTGCCCCAGTGCGCAGAACCTAAGCACACAATCCCCAGCGGTGCAGCGTGGCCCTGAGCACATCTCGGCGGCAGGCTAGACAGTGGCTAAGGTCTCCAGAGTGAGAGGACACTGAGGCTTCCACCTGCTTCACTTTGCTAACCGCACTATGTCACATATCCATCCTTCCCTCTTTCCCTCCCTCCCTCCACCAGACCAGCATCCTGCAAGGCCAAGACCACACTGGACTCACTCCTCCTTGCAGTTCCAGAACCTGGGATCCGGCAGGTGCCCATTAAATGCTCATTGGGAACAGAACATGTGGCTGAGGACAATCAATTGCTTGAGCTTGGATCTGAAATGTCACCAAGATGCCCGTGCTAAAGGCCTGCTCAGAGTCTTCTGGGCTTTGGGGGAAGTGCTTGGGTCCTGCAGGCTGGGACTTCCTAAGGGAACAAATCCACTGATGCATTGTGCTTTGGTGACATTATTTGGTGGGCTGTGACCCAGGGGACTGTGCCTGGTGCTAGCCCCTTCCTCTCTGGCTCTGTCTCTTGATCTCTACTTTTTAGCTGCTGTCAGGTGGGCACTGTTCTAGGGGAGGTTTAGTTTTTGTTTTTGGTGCCAAGGACCAAACCAGGGCTTCCAGCTTGCTAAGCAAGCTCCTTACCGCTGAGCCAACCCCAGCCCTGTCACCTTTCTGATACAGGTGAAAATGACTTCCAAATGATATAGGGGAAAAAAATGAAACTCCTGACCTGAAAGGTACCTGGGACAAGTTTGTGTTCTCTAAAAATGAAGAATGAATTTTAGGAACAAACAGAGGTTAAGAGCAGAATATATTTATTGGGGGAAAGAAAGCTCCTGTCCTAGAGAGGGACAGAAGGGGGCCCAAGCAGATTGTCCCCAGGAAGCTGTCTTTTCCAGGGACTTTTATAGAGTAAAACCATGTGGTGAGGCAGGTCTAAGGTGGTGGAGAACAAGGGAACTTGCTTAGGTGGGCATGAGGTGGGACAAAAGTATGGTCAACCAGTGAGATGACAAGTACCATTGCTCAGGTAGAATCGATTAAATCTAGGACCAAATGAAGAAGCAAGTCATGGGTTAATGGCTCTTTAGGGCTCTTTCAAGGTGATTGATACCTATTTAGAATGCCAATCCCTGATACCTGTCCCTGGGGAAGTGTGTGGCTGCATTTGCTTACTTGTGCTGGTTAGGGGGATGCCCTCCTTGTCTTGGATCTCAGCTCTGATGTTCTCCGTGGTGTCACTGGGTTCTGCCTTGAGGGTGATGGTTTTGCTATGAGGGTCTGCATGAAGATCTGCATTTTCAAACCAAGCATCAAGGGCAGCGGCACACGGAGAAGAGAGATGACACAGTGACCTCGGTGAATCACTAGCTCTCTTCTTTGATCAGTATTTTAACGAAACCATATAAGAGACAAAGCAAAAGCAATTGTAAGCAATTTTGGCCAAACTATATGACACAAAACTGTATGAGGCGAAGCATGAACAATTATGAGCAGTGAGCAAAGACATAACATTTGAAGCATAAAAATTTGTTACATAAGCAAGTCCCAATCCAGAATCTACAAGAGAAAAAGCAAATTCACACCTCCATCCAACGATCTTGGTGGAAACCTCCAAATGGTATAGGGGAAAAAATAACTCCCAACCTGAAAGGTACCTGGGACAAGTTCGTGTTCTCTAAAACTGAAGAATGAATTTTAGGAACAAACGGAGGTTAAGAGCAGAATATATTTATTGGGGGAAAGAAAGCTCCTGTCCTAGAGAGGGACAGAAGAGGGGCCCAAGCAGGTTGTCCCCGGGAAGCTGTCTTTTCCAGGGACTTTTATAGAGTAAAACCATGTGGTGAGGCAGGTCTAAGGTGGTGGAGAACAAGGGAACTTGCTTAGGTGGGCATGAGGTAGGACAAAACTATGGTCAACCAGTGAGATGACAAGCACCATTGCTCAGGTAGAATTGATTAAATTCACTACCAAATGGGGAAGCAAGTCATGTAGCTAGCGGGCGTGAACACAGGTCAGGGACCCTTCCTGTTGGGGGTTGGGCTAGTGATGCTTTAGGGTTCTTTCAAGGTGATTGATACCTATATAGAATATCAATCCCTGATGCCCATCCCTGGGGAAGTGTGTGGCTGCATTTGCTTACTTTTGTCTTGAGGTCTGGCCCACAGCGGGGAGGGTCTGTCTCTTCCAAAGTTGCAAAGTCACTTGTCTTCTATATTGGCTTCTTGAGGGCCTGGCCCTGTCAGACTGCCTATATATTTCTATATAATTCTGCTGCCTACTGCCTTTCTACCCTGCTCCTCTGCCTGGGGGCAGCATACAAGGGTGGAACAGGCACCAGCGACTGATCCTCTGCGACAAGAGCAGTACCAACCTTTTCTCCCCTAACTTATGTCTGGCATTTCCTCCAGCCTCAACAATTTGTCTGC